CTGAATAAGGGAAGATACCGCTGTATACCCAGACTTTCCTGGAGTTTCCTAAAGCAGTTCTTTCTAGAATCATAGTTTATAAATTAAAATTATATTTTGTCCCTCTTATTATTTTCTCTATTCCTACCCATCTCAATACTGAATAAAAAATATATTGAATAATTCCCTCAGTGTCAAGATCTTAACAACATATTAGTATAAATCAAATATATACTCAAAATAGTTTAATGACTAACACTACTCTCTCTTTCACCTGGGTTAAAAGCTAATTCTCCCAAGGAGTATTGCTTTTCCACATCTAAAGAAAAAAATTCACAAAATGCTGGGAATCTGAAAGAGTTTGTGAGAAGGGTTTTGAGGTAAGTGGGTCTAGGCTGTAACTAGGCTGTATAACCTTTTCTTGTGCGTGGGGGAGACAGAGTCCTAGAGGAAGAAAGGAGGGAAGACACTTTGAATATATAGTATATACACTAAAATATACTTTGAATATACTTCCTTCTCTTTCTGGACTTGCATTTGCTCTTAAAAGAATCATCTCTGGTCTGCTTCCCTATCAATCACTTGAAGCTCACTCCTTGAAGTCTTAGGCCCGGATGTCCCTGGTCAGAACTTTGGAAGTTCTGACTTTTTGACAATTCAATGTGGCTATCAGACACATCTCAAAGTTAACATGCTTAACCATAGAACTAATACCTCTCTGACCTTCCTCACGAGTAAATATTACCACTACATGCCATTACCCAGCTGAAAGCCACTTTTGACTCCTGATTTTCCCTTAACCCTCAAAATTCAGTTCAGAAGCAAATCCTGTCTCTTTCACCTACAAATATATTTTCTCTAAAAAAAAAAAGAAAAAATCTACATCCTTCTAACTCCACCTGTGATGCTTCATCTCTGCAGCTACCAACCTAGCAGATAATCCTCGGCTCTGAAGTATCATTTTCATGGTAGCACCTTTGCTTCCATTTTTACCTCTTCTATCTGATCCTCACATAGAAATGGGAGTGATCACTCTATCAATAAAATCCCTCCAAAATCCATCCAAAATAAGCTTTATGTTTACCAAGTTTTATAAAACCCTCCATGACATGACTCTGTGATCACCACCATTTTTCCTCACTCATTCTACTCCAAATAAATAATGTTAGGAAGTATTCCTAAAGTTTTCTAACTTTGAAAAATTGCTGGCAGTAGGATGCATTGTCACCCTCTTCTCACCTACTGCAATCACTGCAGAAATGCCAGATTGCTCCAAGCTCCAAGAAATGAATCACAGGCATATTCTTGCTTTGGGCTATTATACTCCTGATTTATGACACTGTTGAGGCCAGTGCAACAGGAAATTTCAGAGAGGAATCTCAGGTCTATAGTTCACGAGGTGCTGGCTCAAGTACATTCTCAGATATTTTCTACTTTGAGTTTTATTTGACGTATTTCCAAGTTCCTTCTTATCTACAGGAGATGTACGGGCACAGAGCCTGACAAAACACTTAGCGATGATCATAAATTAGTGATTTATCGTTTCTTCCTCCCATGTCTGATAATCCCCTATTGTTTTCCTGAATTCAATTTTGTTTTCCTCCTTCCTAGATTTCATCAGTAGAATGGTGGATGTTCCCATGGCAAGATTTTCAGGCATCCGAGAGTTCTTTTGTGAGAGTGAGAATAGCAGAGTGAGGGGCATGGTTTCACACTTCTATTCCTAAATCCAGTGTGAGCCCTTGCCCTTTGCCTCTCCAAATTACAATATCAGAAGCGCATTTTTTTCAAGAGACATTCTACCCTTCTGAATGATTTCATTCAATAGGAAAATTTTTGTTTATTCTCAGACTTCAGCATATGCCATCCTGAATTCTAATGTACATAATTGCTGCACATAACCTGTGCCTTAAATATCACAAAGGCTAAGATAATTACTAACTCTTAAGATATCTGTTTGCTAATCAATTCTTTTTTATAGGTCAAAAATAAATCTGCTATCATACTTCCAGTGTCTCTATGATCTGAGGGATAGACTTTGTATACATCTATGTATGTAATATCATGGGATCACAAAGAGTCGGACATGACTGAGCGACTGAAATGAACTGAACTGAACTGATGTATATAATGTAATTGACTTCATACTTGAAAATTTGTTCCTTCCCTGAGATCATGATGAAATTAATGCCTTTAAAAACTTTCTTGAGAAAAAGAATGAAGTCATCTCAGACCTTTCTTCCTTAAAAAAAAACAAAAACAAAAAACCTCAGGTCTCCATTCTGGTTTTTTTTTTAATTTATTACTTTCTTTATTTCTGCTTCATCCACCCACCCCTTCATGTTCTTCTAATTCTACCTTAATCTCTTTATCCAGGTGTGTTTATGCGATGCCTCATAGAATCTGTAGTTTCCTTAAACAGATAAGTACCCCCACTTTCTGGATGACAACTTATGGAGTGAATGAGCTTTCATTTCTGTTTAGTTCAGTGAGGAAAATCAATGAGTAAACTGGTAACTTCATTTACAAATTGACTATGGAACTTCAACTATTACTCAGAGCCCCTGAGACATTTATACGTGTATAAATAAGCACCTAATCTTATAAGAAAGTTGAGCGCCAAAAAATTGATGCTTTTGAACTGTGGTGTTGGAGAAGACTCTTGAGAGTCCCTTGGACTGCAAGGAGATCCAACCAGTCCATCCTAAAGGAGATCAGTCCTGGGTGTTCATTGGAAGGACTGATGCTGAAGCTGAAACTCTGACACTTTGGCCCCCTCCTGTGAAGAACTGACCCATTGGAAAAGACCCTGATGCTGGGAGGGATTGGGGGCAGGAGGAGAAGGGGACAACAGAGGATGAGATGGCTGGATGGCATCACTGACTCGATGGACATGAGTTTGAGTAAACTCCAGAAGTTGGTGATGGACAGGGAGGCCTGGTGTGCTGCGATTCATGGGGTAGCAAAGAGTCGGACATGACTGAGCAACTGAACTGCACTGAACTGAACTGAATCTTATAAGCAGATTTATAGTTTTCACTTGAAGAATATTTTATAAAACATTAGTTGATATGGATCATTTTGAAAATACAATTATATGTTAATAAAAGTAAACCTTATTTTGAAAGACAACCATTCAATCTTAGCAAGGCAGAGTGAGCACTGCTAGTGATTAATTCTTTCAATAGTAAGTAACATTTTTAACGATAAAATATTCTGCCATCAACTTTTATTTATTTATACATTTAACTGGATAAATTAGTCAGAGATGCAATCCATAGTAAGGGGTGAAGGAAGCCATGACAGCAGACTTATCATTTACTCGGCGTGGTGGGAAGACAGCGTCAAATACACAAGAAGAGTTACTATGATTTTATTACATTCATGTACATCACTGTCATGAAAAGAAAGCGGGACTTGCTGGAGGCCAGACAGGATTACTTAATTTAGATAGTAGAAATTTCTTTCTTAGGAAGCATTTAGGAAAAGAAAATAATTTTCTGTTGCTATGTTGCTAAATGGATAAAAAGGGCTTCTATGTTTTATTTCACCACATCTTTAAAATAAAACAGTACTAGGTCTTTTACAAACCTCATACAGGAATAGTTTTAATTCTGGCAGCCCAGCACAGACTGAAATATTATGTAAGTATTAGATAGGTTTTTCTTTTTATTGACCTATGGCTGCTGAAAAGCCAAAGAAAACACACGTACAAAAAAGTAAACACTAAAAAAAAAGTAAACACTGTATTTGGCCCAGGGTGTAAGACTACTGCATTTTCATACAATACTGTGACAGTATAATTGCTATATATTTTTCTCGAGGGAAATTTGGCAATACAGATCGATGCATACAACTATCAATGCAACAATTCCAGTTCTAAGAATTAATACTAAGAAAATAATACAAAATGCATGTAGAGTTCTATATTCATGTATATATATGTGTGTACATACTTGCACATATATAATCATGTATATAACCATCATTATACAAAGGTTCATTATTGTATTAGTCCTAATAGTGTGTAGATTATTATGACACATCTCTACAATGGAGTCATATACTGCCCTTTAGTTACTCTATAGATTTAACTTACATGCAAGTTTGATATACTTCTAAATATTTAAAAATCTATAGACAATAAATTCTATAGAGCATAAGAGTATTATTGATGCTTAAATAATTGGTGGTCATAACCAACTATGGATAAGAGATATCATTGTTAGAATTTTTTCCTTCACCTATGTCTCTGTTTTATGTTTCTTCTGCCTCGATTATATATTACTTTAAAACTGGTGATGAATACAGATCTTCCTCAGTTTATGATGGGGTTACATCCAGATAAACCCACTGTAGGTTGAAAATAACCTTAAGTTGAAAAAGCATGTAATACACCTAACCTATGAATATCACAGCTTAAGCCAGCCTACCTGAAACATGATCAGAACACTTAGTGGGCAAAATGATCTAACCCAAAGCCTGTGTGCTCAGATGCTCAGTTGTGTCTGACTCTTTGCGGCCCCATGTACTGTAACCCACCAGGCTCCTCTGTCCTTGGGATTCTCCAGGCAAGAATACTGGAATGAGTTGCCATTTCCTCCTACATGGGATCTTCCCAACATTTTATAATAAAGTATTGACTATTTCATGTAATTTATTGAATACTGTACTGTCAGTAAAAAATAGAATGGCTGTCTGGGTACAGAAGCATTGTGAGTGTATCCACTGTTTACCTTCCCTGATCACATGACTGATGGGTGCTGTAGATGCCACTACCCAGCATCCTGAGAGCAGATACCATGCATCACTGGCCCAGGAAAAAATAAAAATTCAAGGCTGGAGGTGTGGTTTCTGCTGAATGCATGTCACTGTCACACCATACAAAAGTCCAAAAAATTTAAGTCGAACTGTCATCAATCAGAGACCAATTGTAAATACACTGAAAAAGATCTGGCAAAAATAATGATACATATACAAATGAGTGCACATATGGGTGTCTGTCCTTTCAGGGCACTCACCTTTGGTAAGGAAGCCCGTGATCCTGAACTCTGTGTGGTCATGGTCAGCACAGTGGTTATTCCCAAGGCTACCCGGGCTGGGGCAGCATCCATGTTGATCCAGAAGGAAACCCAGGAGAGAATGACAATCAGGAGGCTTGGAATGTACATCTGGATCAGATAGTAGCCCATTTGCCGTTCAAGATGGAATCGCACTTCTATACATGTAAACTTTCCTAATTGGTTGCAAAATAAATGTAGCAATTAGTAAAACCAGGTCTTCACTATTGCATCAAAGGTCACAATGCTGCTTTCATAACAAGTTTGCCCTAAACATTATAATGTTATAATGAAATGGGATCCTAAGTCATATATGCAAATTGATTTCTGAAAAATATTTTTTTTATTTGTATGTTGGCATCTAGAAGCAATGTAATAGAAAAGTGTGCTATTTCAGGAAATAATATATAAAATTATTATTTCACACTTTATTAGCACTTCATAGTTGTCTAGGTACTAAAAGGTCTATTATTTCATGTGATTCATGTCTGCTTTTGTACGTCCTTTTAAACACTGTACCTTGAGGTTCTAGCCAGGATAATTAGGCAAAAAAGTAAAAGGCATTTAGATTGAAAAGTAAGTAGCAAAACTATCTCTGTAAGTAGAAGCCATTAACTTTGTATTTAGAAAATCCTAAAAAACTCATTAAAAATTTTTTTGAGCTGATAAGTTCAGCAAGGTTACAAAATACACTACCAGTATAGAAAAAGCAGTTGTGTTTCTGTAGGCTAGCAATGAACAATCCAAAAATTAAATTGAGAAAACAATTCCATCTGTATAAGAACCAAATAAAATATTTAGAAATAAAGTTAACAAAAAGTACAAAACACACAATAAAAAAAAATAACAAAAGTTGAATAAAATTAAAAACGATCATAAAAAAGGTCATTGAGTAACCATTAATCAGAAAACTTATATGGTTAAAATTGTGATATTTCCCATCTTAATTTACAAATTTATTGCAATTTCTATCAAAATCCCACCTGGTTTTTATGTAGAAATTGACAGGTTGATCTTAAAATTAGTATGAAAATGCAAGGGACCTACAATAGCCAAAATAGCCTTGAGGGGAAAAAAACAAATTTGGTGAACTCACACTTTGTAATTTCAAGACATGCTGCAAATTTACAATAATAACAAAGTGTGGCACTGTTATAAGTAAAGATATACAGATCAACGGAATAGAATTGAAAGTCAAGAACTGATCATTTATGGTCAATCGATCTCTAAAAAAGGATTAAGACTGTTCAGTAGGGAAAAAATGACCTCTTTAATAAATGGTACAGGGCTTCACTGGTGGCTCAATGGATAAAAATCCACCTGCCAATGAAGCAGACAGGGGTTCAATCCCCAATCCTGGAAGATCCCACATGCTGTGGAGCAACTAAGCCCACACAGCACAGCCAAATATAAATAAGTAAAATTATGTTTTCAAAAAAGAAACTAAAGTAAAATAAAAAATAAACGGTACAGGGAGAACTTTGCTTTTTGGAACTTTCTGGAATTTTTTTTCCAAATATTTTCATTCCCCAATTGGTTGAATCTTTGGATATGAGACTGTGGATATGGAAGACTGACAGTACAATGAAAGTCAGGTCACATTTCTGGAAGTGTTGAGCCCGAAAGGAATCATAGGTACTCTAAGGATGTTAGTGGAAGGGCATTTACTCACCACATGGGAGCAATATTTCAACTGTGGGCAGCTTAAGGGAACTTATAAGAGTAGGCTAGAAGTTAGAATAGATATTACAGGAATATCCCATGCCAACTGAGAAACGTGAACAGGTAACATGAATGTACAAGTTTTGCAGTCCTTGATGTTAATAACTGCATCTGATATTTATCCTCAAAGGTAACAGGCTACTGCATCAGTGTGAGTGGTTAAGTGCTTAGTAAGTATCTTGATATGCATGACATTGTGACCAAAATAAAAAATTAGGCAAGAGAAGCCTTAAAAAAAAGATATCTTTCATTTTGTTAGCAAACATAATGTTTATGACATAGGGAAAGTTAAAAAGTACATTTTACTGCTCACATAGAAATTAAAGGAACTTTTTTGAAAAGAGCATTATTATTTTAACTATACGTGTTTAAAAAGGAGAAATTATTTAAATATAACTGAATTCCAAGCATTTCTTTTGTTTCATACAAACCAATTATATAGCAACACGCAATGAGTCAAAACTTCTGTAAATTTTAAAGATGTCTATTCTCTGCCTAATGACTATAAAAAACATTCAGCTATAAATTGCTGAAATAATTAGCCTAGCACTATAAGAAGCATCTGGATAGCATATAACTACAAGTCATAAGTGTAATAAAGAACACTCAACCCCTACCTGTGTTGTAATGTTTAGTGCAGTATCGTAAATCTTTCTCTTCTTTCAACAGAAACTGGGGTAAAGTGAGTCCTTCTGCCACTTGTACAGGTGCCTCATCTTGCCATTCAAATATGAGATCATTCATTGTGTACCCAACTAGGCAAAACATAATAAAATATTTAGAATGTAACAAGGCATTCAAAGGTGAAAAATTTTAACAAATCACTTGTAGATTTCCCATAGAATGAGAAGACCAAATAGTGTCATCTTAACTCTATTGATTGAGCTATGCATTGCACAATTTCAGGCTACTGAAGTCTACTCATATGAAATGTTTATCAAATAACATAAGGAAATGTAGTAAGCTAATTGGGACCTTCCCTGGTGGCTCAGAGGTTAAAGCGTCTGCCTGATGCGGGAGACCCCGGTTTGATCCCTGGGTTGGGAAGATCCCCTGGAGAAGGAAATAGTAACCCGCTCCAGTATTCTTGCCTGGAGAATCCCATGGATGGAGGAGCCTGGGGTCGCAAAGAGCCTACAGTCCATGGGGTCGCAAAGAGTCGGACACGACTGAGCGAATAAAGCATAAAAGCAATAATAAGTATAGCATATACATCCTTTCCTTAGGATAGGCAGATACTGCATTGACTCAATGATTCATTTTGGTTCCAATCCATTAGGTCTCCCTCACCTTTTCTCAAAGTATTCAGGACCCTTTCAAACAAAGCTGAAATTGTCACTGGTTACAAAATGACCTGAACTATAACATCCAGGGAGGGAATCCAGTGCTGATCCCTTTCTTGGTTTAATCATTAACTGCTTTCGCTTATCGCATCTGCTTCTATGTCCCAAGTCCCAAAGTGCACAAAAGGGCATTTTAGATAGAAATGTTTGATAGTCAGTGTAAAAAAAAAATCCACAAGTTTGTGGAGGGACAAACTCCACAAACTCTTGTACATGCAATGAGTCAATTAAGAACAGAATTAAATAATCTATTTTGCAGTAAGCCAGCATGGTTTAGTAAATTAAAATGTCCTCTGTCTATAGCAAGAAAAGAAAATGAAAGTGAAGTCACTCAGTTGTGTCCAACTTGTTGGGATCCCATAGCCTGTAGCCCAGAAGGCTCCTCTGTCCAGGGAATTTTCTAGGCAAGAGTACTGGAATGGGTTGCAATTTCCTTCTCCAAGGGATCTTCCTGAACCAGGGATCCAAGGGATCAAACCCAGGTCTCCTGCAGTACAGGCAGATTCTTTGGCAACTGAGCCACCAGGGAAGCCCTCTGTCTATAGTAGTGGTATCGAAGAAAAGCAGAATTTTATCTTTTTCTTCCCTGTGAGTGAGCTGTGGATATGTACACTTGAAGACTTGCAAAGAAGGAGACAACGTGAAATGTAACCTGTGGGGGAAGACGATTGCCAACATTCACAACAACCCTGGAGGTAAGACAAAAGAAGAAGCACAGTTTGGCCTCTGAACTAAGTAAGTCAGTTCAGTTCAGTTGCTCAGTCGTGTCCAACTCTGCAACCCCATGAACTGGAGCACGCCAGGCTTCCTTGTCCATCACCAACTCCCGGAGCCTGCTCAAACTCATGTCCATTGATCAGTGATGCCATCCAACCATCTCATCCTCTGTCATCCCTCATCCTCCTGCCTTCAGTCTTTCTCAGCATCAGGGTCTTTTCCAGTGAGTAAGTTCTTCCCATTATCTGGCCAAAGTATTGGAGCATCAGCATCAGTCCTTCCAAAGAATATTCATGGCTGATTTCCTTTAGGATTGACTGATTTGATCTTGCAGTGCAAGGGACTCTCATGAGTCTTCTCCAACACCACAGTTCAAAAGCATCAATTTATCGGCATTCACCTTTCTTCACAGTCCAAATTTCACATCCATACATGACCAGTAGAAAAACCATAGCCTTGACTAGATGGACCTTTGTTGGCAAAGTAATGTCTCTGCTTTTTAATATGCTGTCTAGGTTGGTCATAGCTTTTCTTCCAAGGAGTAAGTGTCTTTTAGTTTCATGGCTGCAACCACCATCTGCAGTGATTTTGGAGCCCAAGAAATTCTCCAAGCCAGGCTTCAAAAGTACGTGAAACATGAACTTTCAGATGTTCAAGTTGATTTAGAAAAGACAGAGGAACTATGACTTGACTTTTCTTGACTATGATGGCTACTACATTTCTTCTAAGGGATTCTTGCCATAGTACTAGATATTATGGTCATCTGAGTTAAATTTGCCCATTCCAGTCCATTTTAGTTCTCTGATTCCTAAAATGTTGATGTTCACTCTTGCCATCTCCTGTTTGACCACTTCCAATTTACCTTGATTCATGGAGCTAACATTCCAGGTTCCTATGCAGTATTGCTCTTTACAGCATCAGACTTTACTTCCATCACCAGTCATGTCAACAACTGGGTGTTGTTTTTGCTTTGGCTCTGTCTCTTCATTCTTTCTGGAGTTATTTCTCCACTCCTCCAGTAGCATATTGGGCTCCTACCGACCTGGGAGTTCATCTTTCAGTGTCATATCTTTTTGCATTTTCATACTCTTCATGGGGTTTTCAAGGCAAGAATATTTCAGTGGTTTGCCATTTCTTTCTCAAAGTCAAGGGGTCAGAAAAAGGAAGCAAAAGCTCTAGGTGAATGAAAACAGCAAATACGAGAAACTCCCAAACAAATTCTCTGCTAGTTAATGTTGTAGACAGGAGGCTGTGTGTGTGATAATAGTAGAAGTAGCTGGTGATGCACAGATTAGACTGAACAGAGTGATGTGTCTGGAAGAGAGCTGATCACCCCCCCTCCTACCACAATACTTGGAATGGGACGTCCCTGAAACAGCTGAATGGCATCCAGCCATGGTGGTGGCAACTGAAGCCTGACACCTACCCCACCCACCTGACCCGTGTGCACACCTCACATCATCCACTCCACTGGACATGGGGAAGGTGGTACCAAGAGCGTCCATGGTGGGAGAGTCTGTGTAGACTGTCTGGGATCCTACTATCAAAGTTTTAGCAGCAGCAGCTGCCATGTGATAGCTTATTATGGAGCAAGCGTGATTTGATAGAGGTTGTCAAGTCCTCCAGATTGAAGGGGACATGCGTGAATTCTGGTTCCCGAACACATATGAGAACCTGCAGGACTGTCTTCCAGATGATTGGACTTAGCACAGCAAAGACTCGCTTACACTGGGATATATTTCATTGAACCCTGCAATGAATGATTTGATGGATAATAATAGAAGGCTTTCAATTTTATTTGTAAGTCTTTTGATATAGCCATTGTAAATATCATTTCACCTAGAGAGAAAATAGATGCACATTTCTCAAGGATCAAGAGTTAGCAAAATATGCCTTGATTCTTATCTATTTCTAGGTAAACAGGTACCTTATTCTTTCACACATGCAATCCCTAAAGACAAAATATGTGAGACATTTCCCAACTTAGATAAATGGAGAAATGAACTGAAACTCGGTTTTGTTTTTTACATTCTAAATTTTTCTTAGAGTCTTCTGTGAAAAGAAGGTAGCTCTCTGAAATTCCCTCAAAGATAAGTTTTAGTTAGTCTCTGATGCAGTTTATAGGCAGCATACATAACTTGCTCTTATAATAATCATCCACACTAGGTAACTTAAGGCTTGGGTATATCCTAACCATGGCACTTTCCAGGTGGCACAGTGGTAAAGAATCCACCTGTCCATAAAGGAGACACAAGAGATTTGGATTCGATCCTTGGGTCGGGGAGATACCCTGGAGAAGGAAATTGCAACCTGCTCCAGTATTCTTGCCTGGGAAATTCCATGGACAGAGACGCCTGATGGGCTCTAGTCCATGGGGTTGCAGAGTCAGACAGGACTGAGCATGCATACACTCTCCACATATCCTAATCAGAGTATGCTATTTCCTTAAACGATTTAAGTTTGAAGTCAGAAGAAAAATAGTGAGATGGCACGTTTAGGGGGGTAATACTTTTATTAAGTAATTTACTGGGTGTTCAAGGAAAATAACTGAATGGTAATTTTACCTCAATAAGCCTTCAAACATAACTTTAAAAAGATCAGCACTTTTCCACACAGTGCACAGTGTCTTAGCATCCTTATGTTTTTGGCTGGCAGAACTTTATACAATTCTGGGAATTGCCAAGGTGAACAGACTAGCTAATGAGTTCAAGGCTGTGAGTTGAATTGCCTTGTATCAAATGAGTTTCACAAGAAGGAATATTTTATTGAGGGAACAAAGACATTAACCCTGCATTCAGCCAAGAATCTCATAGGGGATTTGCAAGGAAGCATGTAAACAAATGACTCAGTGAAACCAAACACTTGTTTCTTCAAGTATTTATTGGGCACTGACAATATGTAAAAGCATCCTACTGGGGATGTCGAGCATTATTACCAGGTAAAAAGTAAGTGTCATGGGTGAGGTACAATGTGCTATGTGCATTCAGAAGAGGGATCTATAATATCCACTTAAACCTCATTTGAGTTGGACCTTGAAGAAAGGCAAGACCTAAATATAAAGAATATGAGAGAAAGTGAGACACTCATGCAAAGGAAATAGTATGATTGGCTGAAAGAAATCACAAACTTTCAAGGTTTATAATAGGAATAGAGCCAGTTTGCATGAAGAAGCATATGGAATGAAAAGATGAAGTAATGTAAGATTATATAAAATTTAATCTCAAGGTTGAAAAGTTTGATTTTTTTAAAAATTCCCTGTGGGTAATGGTAACCAACTGGAATCTTTTTGAGCAGGGCAGTGATGTGACAAAAACTGTGCTTTAGAAACATTACTCTAGTAGAATCTTTTCATGGGATGTACAAGATCCAAACTGCTTTCATACTCATAAGACATTATCTGCCTTTTTCATTGTGTTGACATTTGCCCAGATGATTAAAAAAAAAAAAAAAAAAGCAAAACTTCTAGTGTTTGGGCTTCCCTGGTGGCTCAGAGGTTAAAGCATCTGCCTCCAATGTGGGAGACCTGGGTTCGATCCCTGGGTCAGGAAGATCCCCTGGAGAAGGAAATGGTAACCCACTCCAGTATCCTTGCCTGGAGAATCCCATGGATGGAGGAGCCTGGTAGGCTACAATCCATGGGATCACAAAGAGTCAGACACGACTGACTTCACTTTCCCTTTTCTAGTGTTTAGCAT